CAGACACAACAGATAATAAGAAAAAGGGGAAACTACGGGGGAGTCACAAAAATGAGTTATAATTGCAATTTGGGCAAAGATACAGTTTATAATTGCAGTTTGGGCAATGTATACAACCCACCTTCTGTCCAGGTAGGGTGCCCAGGTGCACTTGCAAACTGTATTATAACATCTCTGCTGGGAATGTATAGTCACCAGGGTTTTCTGGGAGTGGCTCAGCAGGATGTGGTTCTTCGCATACGGTCCGGAGACGGTCTGGACAAAGAAGTTTATTATGATAGGGAACTCAGCAAAAAATCCCAAGTCTTAGCTGACAATAGCCAACAAGTTTCGAGTTGCAGGTTTTTGGATACTGTGGCTAGCCAGAAGAGAGAGACGGTTTAAAGGAATACATTGGTGCCAATCAACAGTCAAGAACAAGTTCAAGCTCGCGATAAGGAACCTCATTGCTGCTGAATGGAGGAAAGCAAGGCTTTTCAGCATTCCCGATCAAAAGATGAGAACCAGTATGGAAGCTGTATGGGGTGAGCCATTCAGATGGACAGTGGCAAACTGATCATCTCCAGACGCTTGTGGGATGAAGCCACAGAATGTGCTCCGTAGGCTCGCCCTTTCTTTTTTTTCTGAGGGTTTTTTTGGGCGATTTGCAAGTCTTGGGAAGAAAGGTTATGGACAGTTAAGTCTAACACCTGTCTACAGCCTACAGGTAAGGAAGGCAGTCCTCTGGGACGCTGGGCCCGGTTCCCAGCTTAGAAATAGGCTGCTTTAGTTCTCATAAATCTCCTACTGTGTTAGGTACGCTTTTTTTCCTTTTCTGCTGGTTGTTACCTTTCATTGACCAGTTGACCACTTTTTCTATAGTTGGCCGCTCAGGGACGCTGGACCCGGTTTCCAGCAAAGGAACAAGCTGGGTTTTAACCCCAGTTACCTCCGGGTTGAAATGTACCCGGTTTCCAGCAAAGGAACAAGCTGGTTTTTAACCCCAGTTACCTCCGGGTTGAAATGTCGAGGGATTCCCGGCCTCATTTTGCCATTATGGAATATACTGCAATCCCAAAAAAAAAAAAAAAAAAAAAAA